TTCCAGCGTCTCCGGCAAAGCGCTCCTTGTTGCTGGCGGTAAACTTTGCAATCTGCTCTTCCTCAATCGTGCTCCATTTTTTCAATTCGTTTGCCCACTGTTCCACCGACAGCGCATTGGTGCATAAAATGATGGTGCTTTTCTTTACGGTGCAGGCGGCAGTGATGCCCACCAGCGTCTTGCCGGCACCTGCAATCAGCCCGCTGGCAGCCAACCTGTGGGCAAGACAATGATTCCGGAGCGGGCTCTTCCATCGCTGTTTCCGCCAAACATCTTGCTCAGACACTTTTCCTGGTAGTCTCGAATCGCTGCCGTCAGATCGCGCAACCCACTTGTTTTCGGCGACAGGTCAATGTCCAGATTGGCATTGAACGTGTCCTGTCTGAAATCGTATCTGCAGGTCAGCGGCTGCACGCCTACTCCTCCATCAGCGGGTAGTCCAGTTCCACGCATCTCTTCTTGACCTCTTCCACCATCATCGGCTGGATCTCAAAAGAGCTCGTAAAGTCCACGGTCGCCTGGCCACTCAGTCCCTCTTCTTCCTCGTCTTCTCTGTCCAGCGTAATCACGGCCCCAAACTCGTCCTTTTTGGCAACGGGATGGTCTTGGCCGGCATCGGCCTCCAGACCCATGACACGAGCCTACCATGAGTCGCAGACACCCACCGCCTTGATCACCGGATCGACGAGTAGCTTTCTCAGGATTGCGGGGTACGTGCTTTCGAGATAGTAACGGTTCCGCTTGAGCACCAGTTTGACCTGGGGCGTGTCAATCAGTCTCGCGGTACCTTGCCGTACGACAGCGTGCAGTCCTTGATGAACTTGACCACGCCTTCGGGGAGCTTTGCCTTGGAGAACCTGCGGTGAGACAAGCTGGCCTGTACCTGACATGAGCAGCGGCCGCATTCGCACCTTGGATTGAATAGAATGCAGCCCGTACCTCTCCAGCACCTCCAGGATCGTGTTGGTGGTCATTCCCACCGAGACAGCAGCGTAGAGCGAGTATGCCGTCAGCTTGAATTCGTGGATCCTGCTTGGCCTTGTGACCGGCCTACAAATGAGCAGGATATGCAGCGCACTCGCTTATGGTGATTAAAAAGTCCTGGGCACTTTCTTGCATGGGATGGAAAGCTGCCATAAACCCACGGCTGCAAACCTAGGCTCAGATGGCCAAACCTCACCTGGCAATAAGTAGACTCTCTGGCTCACCTTCCATGATGATTTTGCCATCGCGGCAAACCCACAGCGGATGCAGAGATGGGTTGGGCTTCAGCTCCAGTTCGCTGGCATAAGACCGCCGCAGTACCTGTAATCCTCAGCAAAAAGTCCAGACAAAGCCATGCCGTTCAAGCAAGTGTGTTGGGGAAAGATCGATCGGACCGGCTTTCCCCAAAAAAACTATGCAGACCACAGACCAGGCACCGCCATCTAGCAGTATTCGCTACGATAAGCTCTTGGCAAGTCACCAAGCCTGTCTTCAGAGCATTGCCAAGGAGTGCTCGCTGGCCAAGTTTGCGGAGGCCCTGCCGATGCTGCAGCGCAACAACCCCGAGCTGCTGAAAGAGCTGCGTGATACTGTCATGAACGAGTGGATGACCAAGACAAGGGTGCGGTGGCCGGTGCTGACGCTAGGTGCGGCGGCTGCAGCTCAATCTAGGTAACCGGCAACCCGCTCACAGCCAGAGTGATTTCTTGGATTCGGTGCAGGATCGAGAGCTCTTTCCCCTTCTCGCTGGGTTGGACGCCCTGGCTGCCACTGCTTCGGACAAGCGGGCCGGTAAGGAACCATCGCTAATCCAGACTCGGGCTCTCTCCAGGAAGAGGGCGACGGTGTGTTGCCGTGGAGATAACCGTAGCGAATGCAGCCGAGCTGGAACCCGTCACGGTCATGATGAGCCACCGCTATGCCTTGAAGCAGGCCGAAAAAGCGCGGCTGCTGGAGCTGCTGCAACAGGTATCCGACACGGGTGCTGATGCTAGGTATCCAGTGCCAGCTTACCTAGGTATCGATATCGGGTTGATGGCAGGACGTGGACGAGAACCAGCAGCTCTTTTCACAGGTGCAGTCTCAAGCAGCAGAACTGGAAGAACTGAGTCGAAGGGTGCAGGAACTAAAGTCGGGGCTTTTACCGTCGGTGTAATTTGTTGAGATAAACATCTGCGGAATCAAAGTTTCCCCAAATCAACTCAAGTCTGAACCTCATATGTCTGAACCTCATACAACCTCAAATTCTCATACGACGGCGCCTCAGCAGCTCAGGAAAAGCACCAGTGTGGAAGACTACCTTGCCGCCGGTGAAGTGCTGGACTTTGATACAAACTTTGGGCCGCAAACCATCTCGCTGTTGGAGCTATTTTCATCCTCGAATCTGCTGGAGCTGAGCTGGGAAATTAAGAAGAGCCTGTCGGGAGGTATGCTTGCAAGGACGCCAGATTGCGGCAGCCGCTGCCCTTGCATAGTCAGGCTCGGCACCAGCAATGGCATTTGATCTATGGTTTCTGGCGGCTCCGCTGCACCAGCTCTGTTGTCACCAAGCACTGCTGTGCACATACTCATCCTGGTAGTCAAAGAACACACCGATCAAATCAGAACCAAGTTTAGGGATTCCAGGAAAAAGTAGGCAGCCGGCCGGGCCTCACAACAGGTTCCTCAAGGAGCGGATCGCTCGGATGAAGGAACGGCTCTACTCCCAAAAAACCCTGCGACTGCAGGACAAAATCACCTTTGTGTGTGGAGTCACTTGGATCTGGCTGACTTGTCTGTTCATGTTCCGATTCCCCGACGTCATGCCGCTCTAGTACGGCCTCGGAGTCTGACCCTAGCTACCTGTTTACGATTGTGCCTCTAGTGACAATCCGGTTTTTTGTCTACCGATCCAAGAAATGGTTTGCTGCCAGCCGCTCACCGCAGGCACTACTTTCTGGCGGATCTGTGTTACTTTGTCAATTTCCTCATCATTACCTTTTTCTTTTTCCACTCGTCCGAGCACCTTTTCATGGCCGTGTTTTGTCTAGCGCATGGGCCGGTTGCTTGGGCCATCGTAAGGTGCCGTTACTGACGCTAGTATGCGTGGAGAAACGCACTCGTGTTCCACTCTGTTGACAAGGCAGGTGGCTGACAGCTAACTCCAGGTTGGGCTGGCTGTTTGCTGACAGCAGGTTACGTCGATAGCCATCCACATCCAGCCAGCGCTGGCGCTCTATACGGTCCGCTGGCTTTCCCTAGCCTCGCCGATCCGAACCATTTCGCTCCTTCCATCGTATGCAAACGTTGCATTCAACCCGAGAGGAGACCAGAGCATGGACCCGTCGTACATCTACGCCATGTTCTGCGCTTCTATAGTGTATTTGGTCTGGCAGGGGCTGTACTACTACTTTATACTGGTGCTGCAGCACGAGAAGGCACGGTGGACATTCTCACTGTAGGTCTTTGATCTGAGCCATGCTACGTCCTATACCTATCTCCTGACCGACTATATGGGCAAAAAGAAAAACAACCCTCTGACCAAGCTTTTCAAGGCGACGCCAGAGGCGTTTCGTCCCTTTCTGTTCATTATTGTGCAGTTTATCTATGCCCTGCTGACCATGCTGCCGACGGTGGTGTACTACCGCTCGTTCTGGGCACACACTGCGTTTATTGTGTTTATCGTGATGCTGTCCGTGTTCAACGGCGCCGACTACTACATGGAAGGTAGCGTCTCGCAGCTAACGTCCAGTCTTTAGCAGACGGTACATCCAAGAGCTTGCCAAGCTGGAGGAGCAGTATCGCGTGATGAGTCCCACGATGAGTGCGACGAATCTCTCATCAACCGGGTCGCTCCAGTCCCAGCCCGTACGGAACCTGTCTTCGGGAAGTTTAGATGGCCTGTCGCTTGACTCGAGCCGAGATCTGATCAACAAGAAAGAAGACTGAGTGCCGGGTCTTTAGTAGTTTTATGAACAAACGTCTTTTAAGTAATGCAGATGAGTCTCCCAAAATGGAAGACACCAAATATCCGTGCAAGTCCTTCGCCTGTGCCATCCAAGTAGGTCCCATGTTTGTAACCACCAGAAATGCATGGTGCAAAACAACCACAATGAGACTGCCTGCCAAGACATCAGGACTGCGTTTGAAGACTGCTGCATGAAGCACCAGGGCCAGGAAACAGCCAAAGAAGCCTGCTTATTTGTGTGGAAAAAGAAAAAGATTGCCAGCTAGGGCATAACTGGTGGTTTGCCAGAAACATGTCGACTCATCCCATGCAAACCACCCTTAAACAGTACGGCCACAAAGATGGCTGGAATGAAATGTACAAGCAAGACATCACGCCCTGGAATCTGGGCCAGGCATCCCTCGCGCTGCAGTCCGTCGAGCCTCGGCTGGCCAAGACGGGCAGGTTTCTCGTTCCCGGCTGCGGCGAAGGGCACGACTGCTTCCTCCTGGCACAGCGACAGGCCGCGAGACAGGTGGTTGGCGTGGATTTATCCGAGCTGGCTGTGCAAGGCTGCAAGCAGCGGTTGTTGGCTACGCCGCTGTCCAATTTGGATTTCCACCAGGCGGATTTCTTTGGTGAGTCGGTGCTGGAGGAGAATTCGTTTGACTTTGTCTTTGACTACACGTTTCTGTGCGCGCTACATCCGTCCATGCGATCCGAGTGGGCCTCGAGGATGGGCAAGCTCATCCGACCGGGAGGAACCCTCTTGACGCTGATGTACCCCCTGGTGGACGACATTTCCAAGGCTGATTTGGAAGACGGACCCCCGTTTCCGCTGTCGGTGAGCGTGTACGAGGAGCTCCTGCTGCCGTGCTTTGATCTGGCCTCTCTCGAAGCCTGCGCTGCATCGCCTCCCCGTCGTGTGGGCAGAGAGAAGCTTGCCTTTTGGACGAGAAAGTAGCTTGGCTTGATAAACCCTTGTCCCCGCCACTACTGGATCCGACCATCGCCCGCACGTAGCTGGCCGAGACAGCGGCAGTGATCTGATACTGTTGCTGGTAGCGAACAAGTGGTGGCAATTGGCACGTCCCTTTTAGCTCAGTGGTAGCAGCGCGACACTAGTAATGTCGAGGTCACAGGTTCAAATCCTGTAAAGGGCATTTTTTGCTTTTGCAACTTTTCCCAATTTGATGACAACGTTGACACTTGAGCTTGAACACGACTTTGTTTTGGTTCCGTTTTCTAATGAAAAATCAAAGTTTGAACAGAAACTTTCAGGATTTTTAACGATTGAAAACAGCAGCAAACAATCAGGTGTCGAGTCCATTCGACTGCGTTTTACTGCTGCCGTGGTTTCAAAATCACCGCTCCAAGACAGGGCCGCCAAGTATTCGTTTGCCTACATTGGGAGTGTTCCGCTGTTTGATCGGACCATTCAAATGCCTCTGCCAAAGGGGCGGGAACTGCCGGCTGGAAAACACCGGTATCCGTTTCAAATAGCACTGCCACCCAACTCGCCTCCATCGATGAAAAACGAGCGGATGATTGTAGAGTATCTGATGGTTGGGATGATTGCGTACGAAAACGGATGCTGCGGTGCCATTCCCATTCTCCAGCGATCGCCCGTTTCCTGCAAGCGGCAGGTGGTCGTGAAAACCACCGGATTCCACGAATCGTACTACGACCGCATCCAGGATGCCGGCTACGCACTCTCCCAGGGAGTTCTGTATTGTTTCCCCGGCCCTGATCTGTTGATCAAGCTGAATCCAGTGCAGCACCCCGCCAGCCCAGCCTGGACCGTGCAGCTGCAGGCGCGCTCCGACATTGTGCTGAAGCAGCTGGACTATAGCGTCTGGCAGCACGGCGTCTATACGTATAGGTTTGTCAGGCCGTGCCAATTCAGTCTAGGCTGCATCAGCAGGAAAAAAAACAAGTCACCAAACAGGAGGAAAACATCGACTGCATCGTGCGGGCTAGCTTGGGGCCCGAGGAGCTGGCTGCGGCTGCAGGCGAGTTGATCCAGCGCGACGGCGATCTCGAGCGGCTCCATCGACTGGTCCTGCCAATGGACTGGGACCAACAAGCCATCCAGCTGTGTCCGGATGTACATGTAGGCGGCGGCGTCTCATTTCGCTAGACCAAAGTTGGCGACATTACCCATGCACTTCATCTTGACCTTGTGTTTTTGGAAGACGGCGAGGAAGCACTCGAGTCGCTCCGAATACCGATCCAGGTTGCTGACGATCCCGAAAGCGACGAGCATGCCACGGCTGCCGAGCCCCAAATGACTCTCGACTCCCGCCAGGATAGCCAGGAAACTCTTACCTTTCGGCACCGTCACAGCAACCAGTCGCAAAGCTTGGATTCGCTTGCAGATGCCTAGCCGACCGACCCGAATTCACTCCTTTATAATACAAAATTCACGATAAATATACCCTATGAGATCCGTTCTTCTTGGGGATGTTTTTGCGACAATTGGGACACTTGCGAGATACCTTGAGGCAGTCGTCCAAGCAGCCTTTGCAAAAGATGTGGCCGCACGTTGTCACAGACAGCGAGGTAGTTATGGATGCCGCTTCGAGACATATGCTGCAGCGGATGGCGGCAGCCTCAGGCGAGGGAGGTCTGGTGAAGGTCCGTTTGGCAGAGGGTATCAGAACAGCAGCCGTAGCCCTAGAGCTCTGGCGGGCCGAAGCCTCAACCCGGTGTCTATGAGGGATTGCTTCTATTATCTCGAACGGAGGGTCCACCAGGTCTTGTTTTCGTTTCCGCCTGGGCATACCGCTCGGACCAGGCTCTTTGATTTCCACTACTTCCACCTCGTTGCGGGCAGAGTAGGGAGAACATCCCGTTGTGATGCCGAGGATTTCAACCTCGTCCAAGTCGGTCATCGCAGCCTCGGGGTGATGAGCGTCGAATTCCGGCGAGGATTCGGTTAAATTAATAAAATCAATTGAAGGCGTTTCTTTCTGTTTTGGCATTTGCCGCACCGAGTTGAGTTGTTGGTCAAACTCGGAACTGTCGCCAGCCCGCTTCGGAGTCTTGGGCCAGACGGTTGGTGGGCAGGTTACAGCCAAGGCAACCAGATCTAAACACCCATTGAGCCGGCGCTGCACAGCGGCAGCGGGTTTCTTAAAAGAAACCACTCGTTTGACCCGACTCCCCATGTCCGGTCTCCCCAAATATTCACCACAGCTTCCACCAAGAAGAGAAGATTCCGCAGTACTGGACAGCCGTGATGTTGTCGTGTATGTGGCAGTTCAAAGCGGTCCGGCACCGCTGCCGTTCTACTTTGTCATTTGCCAGTTTCCGAAAGAAAAGTTTATTGTCTACAAACTGCATCAGGGTATTTCACGGGTTCCGTTCTTGGATCCTGGCATGAGGAAGGAAACGTTCATCAAGATTTGGCAGAACGAATATCCTCAAGACAAGGTGGTTGCGGTGGGTCTCGGCACCAAGTCTGTCCAGGAAACCGCTGTGCTGTATGACAACCTGGTGGTGTCGTTGGAGCAGCTGCAGGATCATGCAAGTGCGTCTCGAACGTTTGCCAATACGTTTGCTCTTGCTGTGGTGACATCAAAGCAGGCCTGGTTGGCGGCTTCCGCCGGCGAAGAAAAGTCGCCTATTGCTTGGGTCGACGCATCGCTGTTACAGCCGCAAGCTCGTTCCGTGCCTCGTGCAACTTCCTTTAACGACACCCTGCTCAAAAAAAGCGATGGGCCAAAGAATGACGAGCCGACCAGGATTTCGGCGGCGATCCAGGACGAGCGTCTCACCTTGAACTTTCACGGACTGAATGCGAGCGAGTTTGACGATGAAGACTCGCAGAGCCACGGCACCGACGGCCTCGACTGGAGCACTTTTGACCAGCGACACATTCCCTGCCTAACGATTCTGATCATGATTGTTGGATCAAGAGGCGATGTCCAGCCGTTTGTCGCTCTGGTAAGTGTCGGTGCAGTAATGTCTTGCTAGGGCAGAGAACTGCGAAAGCACGGCCATCGCGTCAGACTGGCAACGCACCAGGTGTTCAAAGGTACGCTGCGGCACAGCGAGTAACGCAGATTTTGTCATGGAGAACGGGCTAGAGTTCTATCCGCTGGCTGGGGATCCGGCAGAGCTGATGGCCTTTATGGTCAAGAATCCCGGCCTCATCCCGGGCTACGAAGCCATTGTTGACGGCGAGGTGGGCAAGAAGCGGGCCATGATCGAAGAGATTCTGGAGTCGGGATGGAAGGCCTGCATTTCTGCCGACCCAGCCACGCAAGAGAGCTTTACGGCCCAGGCCATCATAGCCAACCCCCCGTCGTTTGCCCACATCCACTGCGCAGAAAAGCTGGCCATTCCTCTGCACATATACTTTACAATGCCATGGTCGCCTACCCGAGCATTCCACCACCCCCTGGTCAACATTCACTACTCTCATGCCGAGCAGCCCATCGTAAACATGCTATCCTACGACGTTACCGAGGCCATCACCTGGTCGGGTCTCGGCGACATCATCAACAGGTTCCGGAAAAAGACGCTTGGCCTCCACTACTTGGTTGTGAATCCCGGAAAGGTCATGTCGCTCCTGCACACGCCCCACACCTACTGCTGGAGTCCGCATCTCATTCCCAAGCCAAAAGACTGGGGGCCGCACATTGACATTTCCGGGTTTTTCTTTTTGGATCTGGCTACCAACTACACGCCGCCGTCGGACCTGGTGTCGTTTCTGAATGCCGGCCCAGAGCCGGTGTATATCGGATTTGGGTCAATTGTACTGGACGACCCCGATGGCCTGACCGACTTGATTTTCAGAGCTGTGCAGCAGGCGGGCGTGCGAGCCATTGTTTCCAAGGGATGGGGCGGCTTTGGCGGAAAGCGACCGCCGGACAATGTGTTTTTGCTTGGAAACTGTCCGCACGACTGGCTGTTTGAGCGCGTCTCGGCCGTATGCCACCACGGAGGGGCAGGAACGACCGCCATTGGCCTGTTGAAGGGACGGCCGTCGATAGTGGTGCCGTTTTTTGGCGACCAGCCGTTTTGGGGGGCCATGATTTCCAGGATGGGAGTGGGGCCAGATCCCATCCCCAACAGATCGCTGACCAGCGCCAAGCTGGCCGAGGCCATCAAGTTTTGCCTGTCTCCGGCGGTTCTTGAAAAGGCCAGAAATCTGGGTATTGAAATGTCCCGCGAGCACGGCGTCCAGATGGGAGTCAAATCATTCCACCGCCACTTGCCGCTGAACCAAATGACGTGTCTGCTCCTGCCGACCCAGCTCGCACTCTACCAAGTGCCCATGCTTGGCGGCCTCCGGCTTGGCCAGGAAGCTGCCAACATATTGGTTGATCTCGGAAAAATTCGCAAGGAGCAGCTGACTCCGTACCGATTGTTTGAATGGCACACCAACATCAACGAGGCGGGCGAGACTGTAGAGAAGGTGGATTCGATCAGCAAGGGGACCGTGGCCGGCGTCCGAGCGTTTGGAAAGGGGATTACCCAGGGGATGACTGATCTTGTGGCTCTCCCGATTGCCGGCGCCAGAGAAGAGGGCCTGGCTGGGCTAGGGAAGGGGTTTCTGCTGGGTGTAGGGTCGCTGGTTGCAAAGCCGCTCGTTGGATCCTGGGAGCTGGTGTATCAGCCTCTCAAGGGGGCCTACAAGGGCGGCAAAAAGGTCCTTGGCGGCTCGTCCAGCGGTGGAGTGCAGCGGGCCGCGACGGCCTCTGCCAGCTCCAGCTCCAGTGCGCAGACTCCTGTCGCCAGCCGCCGCAACCAGAGCACCAGTCCCAGCTACTCCACGGCAGACTCTCCGCTGCACGACGAGGATGGCGTGGCACCTCGCGAAGTGCAGGACGTTGTTTTGTCCAGGTTTGATGGATATCTCTTGGGCTACCATCACAAGTCCAACTCCAGAGACTCGCACAAATAATTGGGGTTTCAGATTGGCGCACAAATATTTCTACAAATAAAATTTTCATGTGTAACGACCTGCAACAGCTTTGGATCTGACAAATATTTGCTAGACTGAAACCTTGAGAGAGAACCTTGAGAGATTTTCAATAGACTTTGCAAATCTATCTTTGACCCATTCGAAGACTCTTGTTCACCATCAAATGCAAGGACGCTGTGTACACTATCAAGGCTGGAAACGAAGAGGAACTAAAGCCACTGGATGGAAAAGTCATAGAGTTTCCAGACAAGGACACTCGGCCCGCTCCTGAATTTCTTGCGCGGCATAATTTATGTTCCAATTTTACCATCTTAAAGCCGCAGCTGGACCCAGACTCTACAGACAGAACACCGATTCCAGTCTTTCACAAACATATATCGAGCGAATATCCAGACAAGACGCAGTACATCGAAGAAGGGATCCAAAGAGTGAAGCAAGTCAAACCTGAGAGCACTTCGGCTTGAATACTTTAAAAACTTGTGGTCTTTGGTCAAATGGTGTAATACAATGGGAATAGTCAAATAGTGCAAGAATCTCTCGGATTTCGTCTGTACTCTTCCCAGCAGTTAGCATCTACGTCAATTCTTTCTCGGCAAGTTGAGGATTTCTTCCAATTCAGATTGCTTGAGCTCAGCTTCTTTACGTTTGTAGCTCAATACAGATGAGAGCAGTCTCTTTAGGGAAACTATTCAGGTTCACTTTTAGAATGGAGACACCAATACTTAATGCGCAGACTGAATGCAATCTTATCCCCAGATGAATCCTTCCCTTGAATCGTCAAGCATCTGGATCCTAGATGTCGGTCATGCGACAAGTGGCCATAGTATTAGATATGCACTTATAATTTCATTTTATTGAGAACGTCACGTAGGGGTGTGTCAATCTGAAAAAGGTGTGGCTGGATAATGTCCCTTTGTTGAATCCATAAAGATTTCACAAACTTGAAGCCATTGAAGTGCGGTGGACATTGCTGGAGTCATTTGGTATTTTAATTGAATGAGCTTGTCGCTAGTTCTTTGTTCGCAGTCATTCGCTCATCCAAAAGGAGCAAAAAGGTCTCACCGAGAATCGAACTCGGGTCTACAGATTCAAAGTCTGTCGTGATAACCCCTACACTATGAAACACGCAAAAAAATCTGCTTTGCGCCACCTAGTTTCTACAGCACCAGCACCATCATTTTCACGAAACTGCCGGCTGGTACCACTCTGGCGGCTTTGCACTGGTTCCTCCCAAGCGCTGGCTGCTGGGAGACGCTCGATTCCAACAGTTCAGCCACGATCGGATCCCGCTTAATCTGGCCATCAAGACCGCTGCGGCCAGCCAGGGCGATCACGAGCCGGCGGCTACTGCATGGCAGCGGGTATTGCTTTGTGGCCATCTGTGGTGGACTTTTCCAAGAAAACCAGCATGAGCGACGTTCCCAGCCACCGAGACCTGCTGATGCTCCAGGAAAGAATCGGACAATTAATCGAGAACTGCACCGGCCTGCTGGAGGCAGGGCTGCCAACGGCACTGGGCGGCGGGCCACAGGGCGGGACTCCCTCGACCATAATGGGCCACTTTAGCACCATCATTGCCAAGACACAAGGTACGTGGCCAGCACTGACCCAAGGATTGGTGCGGCTGGTGCAGGAGGAAAAGTGGCAGGACTTGGTGGTGCTGCCTCACATTCTCCATCTCGAAGACCCCGAGTTCTATCCGCGGATATTGCTGAGGAGCAAAGGCATTCCTGAAGTCGAACAGAAAGAGACGCAGCTGCTGCTGGCGGCAGACGACAGCGATGCAAAAGCGATCGAGGCAAGTACCACGGCGGTAACAGCAGGCACAGTTGCTGTTGCGTGATCAGCAGTTGCGGCTGCTGCTTGAATTCTCGGAGGATTTGCGCGCAGATATCGCCAAGGTGTTCAAGCTCACCAGCGGCCTGACCAAGACCTTTACTCCGGTCGAAGTGAAGGATGCGTCCACTCTGGCGGCGTCTCTTGCCTTTATGACCAACGGCCCGCTCTGACGCCCGCTCGTTGCTCGGAAGGCTGCAATTACATATACTTTAGTAGGCATCTCCCTCGACTTGCTCGATCGAAAACCCGCTGGCTCGCAAGATGCGATCAGCCTTGGCCTGGTTCTCCTTTTGGATCGCTCTCGACTGTTTTTGTAGCGTCTGGGCATGTTCTTGCGACACCAAAACCCAGCCATCCGGCAAGGGTAACGAGGCCTCGGCAGGCTCGTCTGTCCTCTCTTCCTCCTCCTGCTCCATTAGTTCTCTGCCATTCGACAATACATGTTCGCTAATTTCGCCGACCAGCACGACGTTTTCGCCTCGAACCAAAAAGATGCCGTGGTCCACCTGAGCCATTTCCCTGGTTTCCATCACAAATATTCGCTCGATGCAGTCTTGCAGAACCAGGTTGGCTGGCCGGAGGAGGATGAACGCTACTGCCGCTTACCAAACTGGTCATAGGCTCGAAGGTATCCATACAAGTGTCGTCCGTCTCGTAGACTCACTAAGAGCCTTTTGTCAATCATTTCCACAAGCGAGGCGCTTCCGGGCAGAAAGTTGTCAATTTCCATCTGTTTGGGAAAAGTTGGGCCGGTCTAAACCCAAGCATTTGGTCTGCATCTGAGACTCTGCCTTTCGCAGCAGTGTGTCTGTTGCCCGCCAGTGTGGTGGAGCAGACCGAGAAGCAGTGGTTTCTGGACGAGGCGGCCCAGACGGCGATACAGAGCATGCATCTCTGGCCGAGCGGTCTAAGGCGTGTGACTCAAGTTCTCATCTACATCAGTAGGCGTCGGTTCGAATCCGGCGGGATGCATTTTT